CAGTCCCGGCGTCAGGACCACACTTTTCGGGTGCAACGTGGAATAAAGAGCCCACTTTTTTCCTTTACGGGCGAAACTGGATTGCCAAGAACTTCCAGCGTCTCCGGCCATCCCCTTGGGGGGCGAACGCCCCAACGTGCCGACAGGGCCGGCGAAAAACCCCGGCAAGGCGTGACACGTGTCAAAACGAAAATCAACCCCCGGGAGAACTCGGGGAATTTATCCCGGGACGTTCGTGCAACTTCGACATTGATCTCCCCCCCCGGCCCTTCGTTCCGCTCGTTCCTCCCCCATTCTTCCCGGTTTGATTTTTCGGGGGCGACCCACCCCGTAGGTCTCTTCGTCCTCCGTCTTAACGCACGTCCATCGTCTTCGGTAGGTCTGAACTTTCCCCCAAAAATTCTTTCACCCGTAATTTTTTCCTCCCCTTCCGACGTCAATAATCACCATTGCACCGAGGCACCCCTGCCACATCGAGTGTACATTCATCCCCCCTTCCCAAGGGTAGCTAATTTAATATAGAACAGTCCCAAAAGACCGTTCCAACCCAAGCGACGAATTCGCCCCTCTAGGTCGCGTTCACCCCCTCGAGCTTCCAGGGTAGAGAGGACGATAAAGCGCCTTAGCGACCCCCTTGGAGGGTTTTTTTCGGCATCGATAATCGGCCTTAGAGCCGCATCGCGAGCCGCATGCGGAAAACTAAGGGGGTGCTGGCTCGGTCCGAGGGTCCCGGGGGTTGGGGAGGTGGGGCGGGGGGTCGGCACAGATATGGGCTAGGTAACCAGGTCACCGGGACTGAGGGCATTGCTTTGCAACCCCTCCGGTACCCGATACGACGCGCGAACAACAGCCCCACTCCGGATGCACACCCCTTCCCCCCACTATCGCGGCCCCCGTACCGATAGGTACCCACTACCACTTGTTCCCCACTGTTACGTCACCCTCCCGCCTTTTTTAATTTCATATAAGTGCACAACTATAACGACCGCCGCGGCCCTGCGAGAACTCGATCGGGCGCGCGCACCCTCCTCGTCCCCGCACCCCCGCCCCGGAGCCACCCCTCGGTGGACTCTTCCGGCGAAGCCACGCTGCTACCCCCGGGGGTGGCGGGACGACACCCTCGACTGGCCGAACCTTCGCCGATCACCGGCTTCCGGAAATAATTTCTTTTCCCGATGGATCGTAGTACAGTAGGTACGGTCGGGCTACGGTCAGACAGGTCCGTTACCTGAGGATTTCTCGAAGGACGGGTCAATACCGTCGCGATTTTTGGCTGATCCTTGCGATATCTCGAGTTTTGATTGTTCCGGGTCTTTTGTATCCGGTCGGGGGTCTCTTTTCCTAGGAAGGGCTTCGGCGTAGGGAACCTTCACCCCCGAGATATGATTATTTCTTCCGGGGGATCTCTACGTTGGGGTCCATCGTTCGCACCACGGGATCTTTTATGAAGCGTCGCCGATCGGGCGACCACTCGGAAATCGCTCGGCGTCCTTCGAGATGAGAATCGACCATATGACGCGGCGTATCTATATGTAGTCCGTGGCAGGCGATGAGTGATCGCCGCGCTTTGGGAAATCGGAAGCAGACGTTGAGAGCCACGATGGGTTTACATTGACTGATATTCTTCCTCCTCGGCTCTCTCTCTATCTCGTTTCTTCTTTTTTTTCTTCCCCGTCCCATCTACCCCGGCCATCTCAATTTTCGTTCGTTCTTCGTTTGGACTCGCTGCGCGTGATGGAGGGCCCGCAAAGCGTAATGCAGTTTTCCAGCCGACTTTAATCAATTTCCCCGCGCCACCCACATATATATACGTAGTTCCTCCATAAATGTTTCTCGCGGTGGTAGAGAAAAGATAGTTGAAAAAATTTTCTATCGGCAACTCGACAAAAATTCCGAGACAGTCGACCTGAGATCCGGAACGAGTCCGGACGCCCGGTTTAAGGAACGACCCACGTGTCGGTCAGTTTGGAACCCGTTGTGGACAGGTTCGCGTTATTGATTCGCACCACAGTCCGCACGGTGTGGCGCATTTACACGGCGTGTCGGCCCCTCGGAAAAGAGGCCACGAGGGGGGCTTCTCCGTGGCGAGTGCGGGGATTCCGCGCGGCGGAAAATTCGGTCGCAAGGAAACGCCGACGCCGAAATATATTACCGAAATGATAAAACGAAATGTATAATATTACCACGGGTTTCAAGGTATCTTTGTTAGTCGCTGTGCCGCAAGCGAGATAATTCATGATCTACGATGTATACAAAATCGGCGGCGAACGTTGAGAACGATCCGCAGGAATTCCCGGGGAACTGGGAAAAGGGCGAGGGAGGTCGATTCTCCCCCCCTTACGGTGCGGAAACGGTTCCGCAGGGGCACCGGATGATCGGGGGCTGCGGAGATTACCAAGTGTCGGCGGTAACGCGTGGGGGCGCGCGTCGCGACGAGTGGGCGTCGAGTGAGGATTACTCAAGGAAATCAGGAAATGACGTATTGTTAGAAGCTCGGCTCTATTATAGGGGCGTTAAGTAGACAAGGAAGAAGCGAGGCGAGGAGACGCGGGCGAGAGAGAGAGACGTCGCGAGGGCAGCCGAGTCGAGCCGAGGGCGCCCGAGGGCGGCCGAGACGGAGCCGCGAAGAGACGGCGAAGAGGAAGAGGCTCAGTCGCGGCGGGGCGGTGGGTCGGAAGGAAGGGGGGTGCCCGCCCGGTGGGAGGGGTTGCTGGCGCATCTGCCTGGTTCTGCCGGAAGATAGAGCGAGGAGGGAAAGAGAGAGAATTGGGTCAGCCAGCTTGGAGGGCACTTCAGGTGCAGGCACCTACCAGCTACCGCGGACGCATCTCGCCCCTGCCGGAGGCGCCGCCGCGGAATCCCTTCGATCCCCTTCGCCCTTTATTTCGGAGGATTCGGCGGCAAGGGGGACGGCACGCGTCGCCACGTGGAGGCGCTTACCGATGGCCATATCCATGGGCAAGAGCCGAACAACGATTTATACATTTCCCATGGCTCCAGAAAAATCCTGGCTTAGAACCCGTCGTATACCTCGTCTCCCCCGCAACCTCCGATTTCCCCAGCACCCTTAACGCGCACCTGCAACGCGATGCAACGCAAAAACCCAGCACGCAGGTGCTCCATTACCCTCGGGGAGAGATGACAGCCGGGATCGTTACCGTGAGAGAGAACATTGGAGGCTCGAGTGAGCTCGACTTGCGTTTCATAAAAGCGGCCGCTGCCGATTGCATCGACTCGGTGCAGCCGAGAATCGGAGGCACCGCATAGGTAATTGGTCCTTCCCGAGACTTGCAACTACGCGGCGCCGTATCGAAGCGCGATGGTTCGATCGTTTTTCCGAGTCCCTTCGACGGTGCGAGAATCGACGCCCTCCTCGGGCCGATTCGTTCCGGGAGGTTCCAGCTAATTGGCACCGACCGTAGCGGATGGGAACGAGATCGCGGAAACTTATCCTATATCTTGGGAGATATCTCGAGAGGGAGGTCCTGGAAGAGGTCCTGCCGAGTAAAAGGGGAGGAATCCGATCCGGGGAAGGAAAATGGGCAGCGGCGATAAACCGCACGCGGAAACGCCGCCCCGGGAACGGGCAGCGAACAATGCGATACAATCAGACCGTGAGAAGTGCAATATTTCTGCCGGCTCGGCCGACTGTACCGCCGTTGCTCCAGAATGCAGAATTTCGCGAGCTTCGGCTGCGATGCACACGCGTACACGTGTCTCTACGTCCGCGTACATACCCGTGCCACGTGCACGTACGGTCCACGCACTCGTGGCCGCACACCAGACCGCCTCTTAATATTCCTGCGAACTGGAACAAAAGTCCGCGATTTCTCCCTCGACTTGTGTTCCCGTTCCCTCCACCTCTCCCGGAATACTGGGAGGTATTGCAAACACTTCTTGGGTTACCGTAAACATTGACTTTTAAATTTACGGGCTCTCTCTCTCTCTCTTTCTCGCACGAGGCGAGGGCCAAGGCCGAGGAGTTTCCCCATTAACCCTTTGACGTACAAATAAAGCAAAACGCAGGACGTTAGTCTAAGTACCCCTGACGCGATTACGCGCTTGATATTAAATTTCACTCTTGTAAAATACAAAAAAAAGGAAAATACGCAAATAATATTTTCCCATCCGAAACGGATCCCTTTCGTAATATTGCAGTTGCAGCTGTTACCCTCGCGTAAGATGATGGCACCCTCCTCCCTGAATTTACGCGATAAATTAAAATACAATTTAAGGGATTTTTATTTCCAATATTTTTCCTTCCGCCTTGACAGACTTTCCGCGACGCGATTTTCATTCGATTTACTTCGACAATTATTAGGCAATATATTATAAGGGGAATAAAAAAAACACCTGGAGATTCTAAGGGGATCGCGGTAGGAAGGAATTCTCGGTCTTGGCCTTGAACCCATCTAGGAGTTCCTTGGTCCAGCGTCCCAGATTAAGGATGCCAGATCAAAGACGTCCCGATGGTCCCTCGAAGCTCGGAATTCTCGCCTTTGAACGACCACGATGGACCTGGCCAGGATCCAGAGATCCGGCCGGGTGGAGGCTCGAAATCCGCGATGTAAACGTCGGCTCCGTCGGCGCAAACGGGAATTCGTCGAATTGGACGAGGTTAGAGGAATTTCGCGGGGGAGGCAGGATATTTCGGAGGTCCTGCCGGGAAGAAACTCGGAGCCGAGGAGAGAACTGGGTCAGCCAGCGACCCGGCGAACCGGTGACCCTTCGACCTGGTCTTGATACCTAATGGGCAATGGAAAAAGGAGCAAAGGGTGGAGGCGCGACCCCGTCTTCCCCAAAGACTCGGGGCCCGGCCCTTTTGTCCTTCCGGTAGCTAATTTCGAGGGACCGAACTTCCGCCCGGAAATGTAAATCGTCCCTAGCGCGACGAAAACCCGACCGTTCGCCGTTAGGAAAGATGAAAATAATAAATATATAAATTGAGCCGTGCAAAGCCAGCGGTACAGGTATTGAGGTGTCGCGCTTTCTGCTTTCAGGAGGCGTATAGAAAATGGGTGTGCAGCTCCCTGGTGCCTTACTTTGCTCATGGGGGACCGCTGGACTTGGAGGCCCCGAAGGGAATCGAAACCGGACCCAGGCTACGGCCCTGCCGATCCTTTTGCCAGTCCGTGGAACAACGTTGCCCTTACCTACTTCCGGGAGACCGCGCACCTGCCTACCCCACGCAATACGCCGGTGAACCCACGTTTCTTTGCAGAGGTGAGCACCGACCGACCCCTCCCAGCCTCCCCAAGGACCCCTCAAAGCTCTCGACCCGTGAAAACGGTGAGACGGGGATATAAAGAAACTCAAGAAACCGGGGGAAAATGCGAAACGTCATCGAGAGGAGGCCGAACCCCCGTCCGAATTTAGGAGGGCGGAAAGTCGCCGAAGGGAGATCAGCGCGGAAAGGGGTGACTCGAGCCACAAGTGGCGAGAAAGGGCGTTCGGCTGGTTGCTCGTTGACGTCTCCGCTGTTCTCTTAATTCATCCCCGGGGCGCATTTAGAGCAGCCCGGCGATACAAGGGATGCGCCGACGAGGGGAGAGAAAAAAGAAAAAAAAATCAAAGAGCGCATTCATCCCTTGACGCTTATAACGCCGTGGGGCACCCTGCACTCCCACGCCCCCCGGCTCCCCCTTTGTCTCAACAGTTTTGTCCCGAATGCCCCTTAATCGCGAGGCACGGATCTCTCGATCGTAAACGCGAACCATGGCCCACCCCGCGACTCGCCCCGAAAATCGGAGAAGGGTAGACGGATCTTTGGCACCCTCTTTCGTTCGACCGCCACCGGGAGTCCCAATAAAAGAATTCCTCGTAAACCTCCCCGATAAGGATTGGGGTCGGGGCCTCGAGAAGAGCTCGACCTCGTCCCGGGGATCCCTCGCTTCCTGGAGCTATCGTCCCGTCCGCATCTCCCGACGATCTCGGGGTGCGACAAATTACTTTCGATTTTATTTACCACTTTTTCCTTTCGCATCCGGGAGTATCCTTGCACGAAGCCTCGATTCCTTCCTCCTACCCCGAGAGGAAAAGAAAGTGTCATCGAACCAGAGAAATATTTTGACAATTCCAAGAATGATAACGACTCAAAATAATTTTTATCAATTAACTGAATATCTCTATCGTTCTGTTTGAAAGAAATATTTCTTTCATTCAATTAGATTTTTCTCTCTCAGGGTGGGCATTCCAGAATCCAGCCGGGGATATCCTGGACCCTTAGCGAGGGTCCAGCGAGGTCTCCTTTTTCCGCTTTCGTTTATTCTCCCGCTCGTCCTCGAGGATGCCTCCAGGCCTTCTGGCGGGCATCCTGGCAGGGTCCCGTCGCGTAACCCCGGCGATCCTTCGGTTTGCAGACCCGAACATCCCCGAGACGGGCGAGCAGGCCGCGAGGGCGTTACACGGCGACGAGGTGGAGGAGTGCTGCTTCTTCGCGTGCTCCGAGGACCATCCTGGATCAGGGATCTGCGCCAACTGCACGGACCGCCTTCCCCGAGGGAGCGACGCGAAACTGGACCCCCCGACCGCGCCGCACTGCGAGACCACCGCGCCTCCGGTTCCCTCAGGATCCGCAGGTTGGTCGACCTTTCAAACGCTAACCAACGATTTCGCAACATCGCGAGTTCGTCCACGCGAATCAATTCGCAATCGAGAAAAATTCGAAAAAGAATCCAGATGAACTCGAGTACGGCTCAGAATCGGCAACCACCCACCAGGACCGAAAAATGGTTCGCGATCTAACCAGTACTCGTTGTCCTTAGGTCCAGCGGAGTCCACGCCGCCATCGGAGTCGACGTCGCCATCTTCGGAGCGGGGATCCTCGTACTGCGGGACCGGGCGGGTGGGAGCGATGCCGGTGCCCTCGTCGGGCCGCGCGGCTGCCCAGCCGTGGTCGCTGCCGCTGGTCTGCCTGGTCTGCGCGTGGGGCCTGTTGATGCGGGCCTGTACGGCCGGCGAGGGAGCGCGGGGGGGGCGCGGGCCGCGGTGGGCGGGGCCTACGGCGGGATGGGAGCTGCTGGCGGGCCTGTTGCCGCGGGCCCGGGCGCGAGTGAAGTGGCGGGAGTGGTGGTGGTGGTGGAGCTGGGGGGGCCGCGGGGACCGCTCCGCGGCGGGGGGGGCCGCGTCCCCCCGGGGGGGCCTTGTTCGGCCCCGGCGGCGGCGCAAGGGCGAGCAGCGCCGGCGCAGGCGGAAGAAACGCAAGCGGGCCTCCCTTCGGGTGGCGTAGCCTTAAGAGCGGCCTCGATCGGCCGGGTTAGATGTTATATACTATATCAAGGTTATGATCGGCCGCGGCCGTCGCGGCCGCGCCGGCCGGGGGCCGACCGGCCGCGACGGGCCCCGGGGATTAATTCGATAATAAAGCGGCGGGGGGCGCCGGACGTCGGGTTTTTACGGTCCCCGCAGGGAGGGGGGGGAGAAGGGGCGTCGGGCCCCGGGGTCGCGACGGGCGGACCCCCGCCCGCCGGCGCGGTGCAACGGTTACGCTAATAATAATGATAACAATAATACAATAATAATGAATAACGGTAATGTTAACGTAACGGTACGTAATAATACAATTATACGCTACTTACACGTACGTATATATATACATATGAGGATGGATATATATACATATACGAGGCTAAGGCATAAATAATGAATAACTCTCGTGGAAAAGAAACACCCCCACCCGCATGGCTGGAGGTAGCGAGGAGGAGACGGGACGGAGGGGCGGACGTGTCCGTGTGCGGGCGCGGGACTGTGTGTGACTGGGTGCGCGTGCACCGGGACTCGCCGCGAGGGGGGCGAGAGGGAGGCGCAGGGACGAGATGGCGCGGCGGATTCGACAGCGCTGCCAACGCCGGCGGCCGATATTGTTATCGAGGTATAATATGTGTTCGTTTAGACATTATATGAATAACTATTATATTACTATGCGTAACGATGTTAAGGATTACGCCAGGACACGTTTGTACGCGATTACACGGAGCGATTCGCGGCTGGACTCGCGCGCGGCCGTCGCTTCGAGGAGGCGACCGTCCGGGACGCCACCCTCCATTCGCGCGAGGCTGCCGTTCGTCGCGGGTGGCCGCCGACCTGGGAGTTTTCGACTTTTTCTCCCCGCCGCCGCTTGCGCGAGACGGATAGCGCCACCGTCACGTGGGCCGCGGTCCGAGACCTCGCTCCGAGGGCGCCAATTTTTTCCACGGTTTTTCACCCTTTTCGGCCACCCTCGGGGAAGGAACTCCCGGCCCGGCGGAATAGTGCGCCACTTCGCCATTATCCGGGGACCCGAAGGGCGACCGCTGAGAACGTGCGAGCTCGGAGGACTCGACGGTAACGCTCGCTCGAGGTCGGGGAGGCGCGGGCGGACGTTTCGAGATCGTCCGAGCCCACCCTGGCGGGTGTCCGCCGCGGCTGACGACCCCGAGACATCGCGGCCGCGCCAGCTGGTGCACCGCGTTTACGAGAATTCCGGAAGGGCTCCCTTAGGCCCTATTCCTTATTGCCGAAATTTCCTGCCCCGGGCATCGGATACCCATTATCCCGCCGACCTTCGAGCGGGACATAAATCATGGCGTCAAATTGCCCGGGACGTCCCTTGCGCGAGACCCGGGCGAAGCCCGCTTCCTCCGTGCCGGTTACGAGTGCACTTAGCTTCCGGTGCCCCGACGTTATCAACCCTTATCGCCGAGGCTGCGCGCAGGAAAATGTCCGGTCGGGTCGACCACGGAGCATGAATATCGCGAGGACGCCAAAATATTCGATCGCCACCAGGAATCGATCTTTGGTTCATTTTGGACTTCCGTCGATCGACGAGAAAAGGTTTCCGAAGTCGATCGGATGCGATCGATCGATTCCGGTCGATGGAGGAATCCTTAGATTATTTTTCCTGCGCGTGGACTTTAACGGCCTTCAGGAAACGTTTCCGTCCCCGACCACCCCCGTCCACCCTGACCCTCGGAGCGGATTTTCGGAGCGCAGCCCAGGGTAGCCCCAGAGGGAGGCCCCGTTTTTCCTGGAGCTCGTCCAGGACGCGAAGGACCAAGAGTCGGGAGTCCCTCTCCCTAGGCTCTCGGAGAGCCCAACTTCGCGCACCCCTCGGTCCAGCACCCTCCCGCCCTCCGACCTCGAGAGTCACGATACGCACAAAATACCCCTCCCCGACGTCCGCGTTTTTTACGGGGTTCTCGAAGAGACCCCGACTCTCCTTAAGATCGCCACTCGCCGTCGCGACGTCGCCCCCTCCCTTTGGCCCCGTTCCCCCCGTGGGACAATTGTCGCGCGACAATTACTCCGAATTGTTACTTCTTAGCCCCCGACCGATGACCGAATTATTCTTTTATTTCCGGTAATAATTGGTAACAACCTCGACGAAGACGATAAGGGATGTTTAGGAGTCTAGGGGTGGCCCTCCTTTTTAATATAATCCTCGCTCACCTGGGGAGAGGGGACGTTAATTCATTTCACTCCGCATTAGACCCACCTCGAGGTCCGAAAGCTCGATCATCCATAGGTAATCTCGGTCCACGTGCGAGATTCGAGCGTCTAGGCGCGTCGCGACGTCGTCTCTCCCCCCCTACGGGGGAGGACGGGTATGTACGCGGACATGTAAACGCGTATAAATTTATATACGCGTACCGGGAGGGAAACGGGTACACGTGTATCGTGCATGTGCCAATCGATATATCGTATCACGTTAGACGAGGGTGCAGCGGGTGGCTCGTTAATAAAGGGGACAGGAGGATCCGAGGTTTTTCGCTACACCCCCGAGGTCGCTTTCCCCTCCGCGAGGGCCGCGACCCGGGACCGACCAATCGCGACCCGCATTTCCCCTGGGCCGGCCAATCGCCACCCGGCATTCCCCTGGATCCTCGACCGACTCTCGACCACCGCCGCCGCAGAAAAACGCGACGCTCACCCTCGAGGGGTGTTACTTGGACTTCGATGCTCCATTTGCGGGCTGCCCGACTTACCCTCGAAATTCCCCCTTTTTTCTCCCTCCCCGGACATTGAGTCGTTCGACCCTTCCCTTTTTACGCGTATTTCTCGCGTCGGGGCGGAATATATACCTGGGTATAAAAAATTCCTGCGACAACTCTCGACGTTTGCAATTGACGCTCGGATTCCAGGATTTTTTATTTCGGAATTACCTCCATGTCTCAATATATGTATACATTGAGATTTCCAGGTAATACCGAAGAAAAATAATTGTTGAGTCGGAGTCGAATATCGCGAGTCGATGCAAGAATTTTTTTAATCCGCGGAAAATGTCACTCGTGGACATCGAATGGTAAAATTGCTTTTAATTCGACGTTCCAAGGGGACCTCTCGCCCGGGGCGATCATTTCTCCGGAATGTCTGGATTTCGGATCCCAGACGGAATTCCCGAGGGAGAGGGACGTCATCGGGACCCGGGACGAGATCGGCGGCCTTTTCGTCCCTAATGGCATATTGGGGAGCGCCGGACTCCGGCTTCTAAGTCATTCAATTTAGCCGACTTGTCGGCTCGTTACATCCGGTCGAATAAGAAGCGCGGATTCCGCCCTTATGAGGTGTTATTCAGACACGACGTCCCATTTTCGGGGCGGATCCGAGTTCCCTCCTGGACCCTCTCGAGATTATCGCGTCATCCGCCGTTTTCAGATCCTCATCTTCCGGTAATTTGCCGCCTAATTGTTTGCCATCAATCTATCCGCAGTTGACCGATCCGGGAAAACGCGGAATCTCCCGCTTCGTTTACGCGGTGCCAGAATTTTTCCTCCTTTTTTGCCTTTCATTTTTTTTCCCCCTTTTCAGAAATTCCCCGTGGAGAATGGCACTCCTCTCCGAATAACTCCCCGGCGAATGATTAATCCACTTATTATTTTACCGCGGACGATCGAAGCGCGGAAAAAGAAAAGAGGAGAGCCCGATGCGCGATGTTCCTTCGATAGCCTATTTTCGAGGAAGTGGCACTCGCCGTTCCTCTCTTTTTCCTCTCCTCGCCCCTTCTTTATCCATGACGCCTCCGAGCACCGACGTCCGTGTGTAGGAACAGCCAATTGCTTCCGATAATTTCCGAGCCAATTATTGAGTCGCTTACCAGCCTGTGACACTTGATGAACAGCCAACCGCCGCTGAAGCGCGCTCGGATGGTCAATCCTCGCACGTGTAATTCCTGCCATTCCATTGATCCTAACGTAACCATGATTACAACAAAAAACCATCCTTACTTCCCGACTTTAATATCTGGACCAAAAAAAAAACCCACCATCTCTCTCTCTAAAACAACCCAAGTGAAAAAGCGACCTCCACTCCGCCGTCCCGAAATTTCATAGTACTTGAAATTTCCAATCAGAAGAATTTTTTCTTGAGAAAACCACGCGTGAAACCGTCGCTACGGATTTTTTTTTAGGAAATCCAAGCAAGGAGGAGTGGGAATCAATTTCGGTTGAGGAAAGTTATGCGTGGGCGGGTCGGTTTGATTTTTTTTTTTAGGATAATCAGGAGTGAAAGAGCCGGATAAAAATTCAGCAGGACATCTCGGAAAAATCCGCTTACGGTAATTCACGGCCGGATTATCGCTCGGCTTAGAGGCCTATTATGCCGCGGATAGGAGCTTAACAATTAATAAAGTTCAATCGATTCTTCCGACGCCTTGTCGGCTGCATCCTCGTTGCACCTTATCGATCCCTCCGAGCTGGGACACCTTCGCTCGATCCTCCTGTCGATATGACGGACTCGATGTGCGAACCACCCCGTATGTCCTCTTGTACATCTACATCTCACGCACGTATATGTACCTCGAGCAATCATGAGACGCGTACCTGTACCCATGTACGTACACGCCCGTGTACACGGTACACGTACCGCGTCCGGACGACGTGCACTCGCGATAATTGTTACTCGAGACGTGTACACGAGTAATGATCGCGCGGAATGTCCCTAAGATTTACCAGGAATTAATGCAACATCGCAAGATCTTATCGCGACAACATCTAAAAAACATATAAATTTGCGGAATAATTCTCACGAGTCGCATTTCGACCCATTGGAATCCGCTGGTCTTTCATATATCTTTTCCTTTTCCATCGACGTCAATTTTTTATCACCTCGCGAGATGATTTTACAAATAATTTTCTTGGGTTGTTAAGGAGGGAAATTCTAAGGAAATTTTTTTCTGTTTATTTTTTTTCTTTATCCTCGATTTTTGGTTTCTACGGTATACAGCGGGTCGAAACGTTCCCCTCATTCCGAAAAGGGGAAGCCGCAAGAGTATCGGCGTAAAAGGTCGGTCGTGATTGGTCAGCGAAATCCCTCGAATTACCAACCCCTCCTTTATCCCTATTTTGGGCGAAGTTTCGTCGGCCGCCCTTAGGCCTTTTCCATCCCGATCCATAGGCGGCGGGAAAAATCCCCCGGGAACGCCCTTCTTTAACTTTCGCCCATGATAGACCCGACAGGGTACACTTACCCTCTCAAAACGGCCTCCCTTAAACGGGCCCACGTTTCGACCAACCCTTGCTTCCGGTCCCGAGAGCACTTGTAATAATTTCTCCCACGTTTCCGGAATTCTTCCCGACCGGGATTCGCTCCGAAACATCGCTTACCGCGTTTTACCGTAATTCTCGGGCTCATTAGTTGGAATTCCATTGACTTGTTAATTACGCCAAGCGGGATTTACAATTCAATTCCCATTCGTCCGGGACATAACCGCATTTGCACAATACACGATGCGGCTTGAATTATTGAAACGACGTTGCGAAACTTATGCCACGTCGCTGCATCCTCGGGATTTCCCTGGGAAATTTCTTTTTAAGCTTATTTACTATTATCCGATACGCGAGGGTGAGTTCTCGTCCTTCGATGCGTAACCGGGAAGGGTACGGAGAGGGGGAGAATTTCGGTAATCCCTGTACGACCCCTTATGTACC